TTTGCTTCATGTATCTGTGTAAAGATTTTTGCATTATGAATGTTGAATATGCACTCTGCAAATGCTCAGATGCTCAATGAAATCTGCCTGAGTGGGTCATCTTGAGGGCCTGTTTCTCACATTCTCTTCCCAGAAAAATGCCTGAGTTTGGAGAGGATGAGAAGTGAAATTCTGAGGAGTTATATGGAAGCTGTGGTCCTCAGCCAAAGTTAAGGGAGTTCCTTCCCTATTTGGATGTATGGTTCTCATTTGTTAGCTCACAAAAGAAACTGACTGTTCACTTCCTCTAAAGTTCTAAAGTCAAGCTTGGGATTTTCCCCAGTCATTTCTTCTTTATCAGTGAGTGAAATTAAATATCCAAATGTCCTTCAGGTTTTTCAAGGCACACCTGGAGTTTTCATTAGTACCCCAGACAACTTTTGTGTTCAGTCGTTCAATACTTTTGAAATATCCTGAGGATGGATTTGAAAAATCTACTGCTTTTTTTTATATAGGTGCCTTTTATCCTTAAGAAACATTCAGTAGCTTTCAGCAGGTATTATTGTTCTCTTTCAGACATGGAGAAATGTGTCAGTTGCTCAGAAGATCAATTTCCAAATAAGGAACAAGATCAATGCATCCCCAAGACTACAAACGTCCTCTCTTTTGATCAAACTTGGGGCATTCTTCTAGCCTTCTTGGCTCTTTTCTCTTATCTGACCACATCTCTGGTGCTCAGAATCTTCATCAAGCTCCGGGACACTCCCATAGTCAAAGCCAACAATCGCAGCCTCACCTACACTCTTCTCGTCTCCCTCCTGCTTTGTTTCTTCTGCTCCTTTTGAGTTGGTCTACCCACAATTCCCAGCACTCGGGGTGTGTATTAAGATGACCTGCCTCCTCTGACAAACAGCTCTTGGCATCATCTTCTCCATGGCTGCTTCTTCTGTGTTGGCAAAAACTGTTACAGTGGTGATGGTTCTCATGGCCTCTGAGCCAGGAAATATTTTCCAGAAATGGGTGGGGGAAAGGTTGGCACATTCCATTATTGCTCCCTGCTCCCTTGTACAAGTGGGTATTTGTGCTGTTTGGCTAGGTACGTCTCCTCCATTTCCAGATTTGGACAAGCACTCATTTTATGGTGAAATCATAAAACAATGTAATGAAGGGTCAGTTGCCATGTTTTATGGTGTTTTGGGCTACTTGGGATTCCTTGCTATTGTCAGTTTCGTGGTAGCTTTTCTAGCCAGGAAATTACCTTACAGCTTCAATGAATGCAAGTCCATCACCTTCAGCATATTGGTCTTTTGCAGTGTCTGGCTGTCATTTATTCCGACTTATCTGAGCACAAGAGGAAAAGACATGGTGGCTATGGAGATCTTCTCCATCTTGGCCTCTGGAGCTGGATTACTGGCTTTTATCTTTTTCCCCAAATGCTACATTATTTTGTTGAAACCAAATTTAAACAAGAAAGAGCAGCTAATAAGGAAAAAGCATTAAAGTATCTTGTAATTTAGCACAGCACTATGATTGCTACATTATCTTATGATTTAGCATAGTACTATGAGAGCCAGTTTGGTGTAGTGGTTAAGTGTGCGAATTCTAATCTGGGAGAACCGGGTTTGATTCCCCACTCCTCCACTTGCACCTGCTGATGTGACCTTGGGTCAGTCACAAGCTCTGGCACAGCTGTCCTTGAAAAAGAGCAGTTTGTGTCAGAGCTCTCTCAGTCCCACCCACCTCACAGGGTGTCTGTTGTGGGGAGGGGAAGGGGAAAGGAGTTTGTAAGCCGCTCTGAGACTCCATCAGGTAGTGAAGGGTGGGGTATAAATCCAATCTCTTCTTCTTCTTCTATGATTAGGATATGTCCTGTGGAAGGCTGAATTTGGGCTATGCTTCTGAACAATCTGCTTTCCTTCTATACCTTGTCATTGAACAACTTAATTTTATCAATTCTGCTTCATTATTAGTTCATCGTTATAGTATGATGATTTCTCCTCTAGTTGTCCTGCATGACAACAGCGTTATAAGAAATTAATAACATTTTTGTAAAGAAAAAGGTCCTTTGAGATGTATACACATTAAAATAAATTCAATGGCTACTGTAATGAAAATGATGTCACATTTTTACAAGTGCATTTTCACAGTAATTCCAGTACCAAAACCTCTTTCTGGTTACATGCCACAGCCTAACTCAACCGTTGTGTTTTTCTTGCTTTGAAACATAATCAGCCTTGGTGACTTCCTATATCCAAACAGGAAGCACACAAGAGTTATGACACTTACAGTGAGGCAGCAAAATCTTGTTTTCTGCTTTAGTTATTCTGCTCCTGGCTCCATGTAGATGAGAGGTCTTTTGGGAGGTTATTTTAAACCCTGCAATTATTTCAAAGGACTCTCCATTTTTCCAGTTTCAGCAAGGCTTTTCAGAGATCAGAAGCAACATTCGTATCCAAGAGTTTATATAAAATGTGTCATGAGAGCCATTCAGAGCCCATCGTAGAAATGGAGGGACTGCAAGTCTGACCACTGGTGGTTCTCACTCTATAGGTGTTACTCTTTATAAGAAAAGTCAAGAGTGATTGAAGACTTAGGCTGATATCAGATCATTTGAAAACAGACAACAACAGGGGGTCCTTTGCTTACCAGAACAGGTTTTTCCATCAGTGGCCCAAATGATTTTCCTGCTGCAACTCCTGGTTCTGCTGCTGCTTCTGATGCCTGAAGCTGTAACCAAAGTGCATCCAGCAATTTGTCATATGAAGAATGCCCCTCCCATCCAGCGTCAGTATTATCAGCCAGGGGAACTCATCATTGGTGGGATCACTTCCCAGCTCTTCTTCCCTTCCTATTCCCCCATTTCTTTCAGTGAGAAACCCCAAGAAATTGTTTCTGGTCTTTCTAGGTAATGGCTTTCCTCTCACAACACATCCAGATTATAATCACCAAGACTAGGATCTTATATGTTTCCTCTTCACGCGCTTCAGAGGTGGGCCACCACCACTTCCTCTAGCTCTAGGCATTCCTGCTTTTGCTAAACCTTTATCTCCCATGAGCTGCAAGTGCCTAGCATAAGAGGAATGTTCCAGCAACAGAGGATTGCCTTTGCAGAGGCCAAGAGAAGTGTATGCAGAAGAAAGGTGTAGGATCCTAGCCCAGGTTGTTGAACCTTTGAGAAAATTTGGTTCTTTTCATGTATTATTAGTTCAGGATGAAATTTTCTGCTTTGTTATATGCATTATGCATTTGATACAAAATGTACTGAATACAATCACAGCCCCACAGCTGAATCCTCTTTATTGTTGACTATTTTTCAGTATTGACAGCTATCCCTGGAAAGTGTACAGAACATAAAGCATTCTGAACATTTCTGCTGGTTGGGGAGGAGTGATTGTCAGCAATTCTCTCACTCCAGCCGCAGACCTCCAACTCTCTAGTTTGGTGTAGTGGTTAGGAGTGGTGGACTCTAATCTGAAGAACTGGGTTTGATTCCCCACTCCACCACATGCAGCCAGCTGGGGGACCTTGGGCTGTTTTCCAAGAGCAGTTCTCTCAAGAGCAGTTCTCTCAGAACTCTCTCAGCCCCACCTACCTCACAGGGTTTCTGTTGTGGGGAGAGGAAGGGAAGGTGATTGTAAGCTGCTCTGTGACTCTAAGTGAAGGGTGAGGTATAAAGTCGTCTTCTTCTTCTTTTTCTTCATCTTCCTGTCCATGCTGTTCCTCAGGGTCCACTGTCCCCAAACATGTCAGCAGGCAACAGGAGTGCATAAGTGAGGAAATTACACTCTGCTGACCAAATTCCCTTCCATCCATGTTTAATAGGGGAAAGATGAGTTAGAAATATAATCAGAGTTGCTTGGATTTCTTAGGAATTTATATAACTCCAAACACTGCATGTGACATTTTCATTACTAGCCTTCAGTTGTGCTTCACTTGACCTCTTTCCGTTTCCGTTTTTAATTTCTTTGTCTTTTTAGTTACTTTTTATTACTAAAGGGATAAATATTGAAAATAGTGGGTGGAGAAGTAGTCTGAATTTAGGATTGAATACTACATCATCTGTGACATTGAATTTCTATAGAACAACTTTAGATAGTTAAAAGAAGGCATTTCAGTTTGTCATGGATAGCATGCCTTTTTAGTTTCTTTCCCTTTGTCCTTTCCAGTTTCCTCTCTGTCCTAGTAGTCTATTCATCCTTTCATAACAAATCCACATCTTTTCCTCATTTATTCTCTATTTTACCTGCACCTCCCTCTCTGTCTGCTCTCACAAGCTTGGATCTAGCTGTTAATTAAATCTCACCTCATTTTCCTCCTCACTACATCCCACAACATATTGTTTTTGTGCAAGGACATCTCATGATTGTTTGGTGGTCAAAGGGGACCTTCTCTTCTCACCATCAGAAAAGATGGTTGGAATCAACCCATGACCTTTCTTCCATTTAAGCAGGTTCTGAATATAACCAAGCCTCCTATTGTCTATGGAGATACCTGACAACCCACTATCCTTCTATGTCTTGAAAATGCCTTCCCCCCAATTCTTTGGTGATGAATATTGTGATCTATATCCCAGTATATTACTAATACATTTTGCCAGACTTTGGCAAATCATTGGGCTTCTAGTGTTGATGAAGTTTTATTTTAGTTTGTTAGTCCAGAACATGCATTGTGTTCTGAGTGCTTAACCCTCAGTGCTGAGCACTACCAGGGCCATATAATCTTCCAATAGTAATTAGTTCCCTCCCTTTTGGTTGGCTTTTCTTTTGGCATAGAGTTAAAGTGACATGATTCCAGAGATCCTTCGGGAGGTCCGTTAGAAATCACCCTGTGGATCCATTTTAGATGGAAGGGTAAAAGAAAGGGGCTTTTAGGAATAAATGAATACACAAGCAACTAAACACCCAAACAACATGGAACCAATAATAGAAAATTTATGAATAGATATAGTAGGCACAAAGTATATCATGGAGTTTACAAAGGGTAGAAATGCTTCTTATAAATGTTATGTCTACTGGTTTAGCATGGTGTTGAAGAACTATCAGCATGTCCTGTCTTTGGTGTTTGCTGTGAAGGAAGTCAATGAAAACCCCAAGGTCTTGTCCAACCACACTTTGGGGTTCCACATCTATGAAAGCTACTTCACTGCAAGAATGACTTATCAGAATACCCTGAACCTTGTCTTTACTGAGACGAAGACGGGCCTCAACTACAAATGTGACATCTGGAATAATCTGATAGCTGTTATTGGGGGCCAGGATTTTGAAATCTCTCTCCACATGGCCACCGTCTTAGGCATCTACAAGATTCCACAGGTAAGATTGGAATGAATTAAAGGGATAAAGTTCTAAGGACCATTAGCATGAACAAAGAAAAATTGGGAGTTTGAGGAAACATTTCCTAGTGACTCCTTCTATTTTTCTTCTTGTATGAAAGAAGCCTTTTTATTCAGACTAATAACTGCATTTTAGATAGTTTAGGGGGGGAAACATAATGTGGCAAAGTAGATAAAGTTTAACTTGGAAGGAGGATGTGGCACTAGTTCAGATTTTGAAAGATTTTGTCAGCAAGGAACTTTGGAAAGGCACCACTACTAATTGTTAGTTCCTGTAAATCCAAAAGTTCAGATTTCAGGGTCAGCAAATTCCAAGCCACTTTGAACACATATTTGGGTTTCAATTTCCACCTCAGTGACTGAGACTAAATTCTTAGATACATCCTTTACTCAAAAGGTTCATTGCCTCATATTTCAGGAAGATTGGAGATTACCTGCCCATTTCTAGGCATTTGAAACCCTCATTTGTTTTGTTGGCACAGACAGCCATGTATTGACTAGTGAATAAGATTTTTTTTCTCCTTTCTCATGAGCTACAAGCAGTGGATGAACAGTTCTTTTTTTTAAAATGAGATGGAGTGTGAGTGTGTAGGTCTTGGAAACTTTACTCTGTAAGTCTTGTCCTTATGGCATGTGCTATTTTTCTTACAGTATTTTTTCTCTCTGCTCAGCTAACTTTCCATATCAGAGAATGGCCCAGAGAAGATGGGGCTCAAGCTTTGGAGTGATGAAGGGTTTGGCCCATGGGGTAGAAGAGGTTGCCTGATTTATTTATTTTACTGGACTGGAGCTAACAGCTTCTGTGTGTGGACAGAATTTATATTATGGGATAGGGATAGTTGCATTGGAGTATACACAAAACTACAAAGACAGAACAGACCCTGAATCTCACATTGCTTGATCCTTCCTCATCACTGATCTATTGAAACTTGTCACCAGAGTTGGTGTGTGCCTCTTCGTTCTTGGGTGGGGGCAAAGCTTTGACAACAGACTGTATTAATAGATGATAAATGAGATACTGGATGTGTTGGAAAGTGCCGCCAAGTCACAGCTGACTTCTAGTGACCCCTAGTTGGATTTTCAAGGCAAGAGATGTTCAGCAGTGGTTTGCCATTGCCTACCTCTATATCACAGCCCTGGTACTCCTTGGCGGTCTCCCATCTGAACACTTGCCAGGGCTGACCCTGCTTAGCTTCTGAGATCTGATGAGATCGAGCTACCCTGGGATACTGGATACTCTGGTATAAATCATCTAAATAAAATGATGTTTTCAGGGTACGCAGGATGATCACCCCCCCAAATGAACACAAGTGGCATCTAACTGATTAAAAAAATCTTTTATATAGATCACATATTGCTTATTCCCTCCGTCAGTGAGTGATAGAACTCAGAGGCCTTCTTTGTACCAGATGGCTCCCAATGAAGCCTTTCAATACACAGGGATTGTCCAGCTTCTGCTGCATTTCCAATGGAGATGGGTTGGAATCATTGTAGTGAGTGACGATAAGGGAGAAGGGTTCGTGCAGACCATGACACAAAAGTTCTCCGAGAATGGAATTTGCCCTGCCTTCATTGAAAGAATACCAAACCACGGGGTATTTTTTGACGTGTTCAACCTTTTCAATTATATGGAGGATACAGCTGATTTCCTATCCAAGACAGACGTCAATGTACTTCTTGTAAATGCAGAGACACACACCATGACGTCTCTCCAGTGGATTCTAATGCTGGTTGACATAAAAGGCATGACACCTATATGCAAGGTTTGGGTTATGACAGCTCACTGGGATTTCTCGTCAGAACTACTGCACAAATACTTGGATATGAATGTCTTCCACGGTTCCCTATCCATTGCAGCTCACTCCAATAATGTGCAGGGATTCCAAAATTTCCTGCAGTCGGTGAATCCTTACAGTGATGAAGATGGATTTATCAGAATGTTTTGGGAGCAGGCATTCAACTGTTCGTTATTTCCAGACGTCAATGAGAGTGAAGAGAGAAGGGAAAGCTGCACTGGTGAAGAGATGCTGGAGAGCCTTCCTGGGCCTTTTTTTGAAATGAGCATGACGAGTCAAAGCTACAGCGTCTACAACGCTGTCTATGCTGTGGTGCATGCTTTGCAGGCCATGTATTCATCTAGAACCAAACGCAGGACAATGATTGGTTGGAACAATATCCAGTCTGGGAGGCCACCAAATTTACAGGTAAAATTTCCATGACATGGAAAGCGGATTGATTTTTAATGAAATGACTAAACTGAGATGTGTGGTTTAGAGCCTGCCCCAGCACCACCATAGCCATTAAAAATTTGGGAGGGGGGTTGTTTCCTTCGGTTTCTGCTACTTGAAAAGTATGGTTTAATCTTATACTCATCAAATTATTGGCCCCGTCACACGGGCCGGATATCGAGGGGGGGAGGCGTGGCTGTTTGCCCCGGAGCGAACTACCACACGGCCACGGGATCACACGTCCCGCCGACGTCTGGTGGTGGTGGTAGCCCAGGGAGGTGCCGATCAGACGGCATGGCAAAGAAGTGGCGCTGCCATGGCAAATGGGGGGGGGTTAATCCAAGTATGTGCTTGCGCCGTTGGGTGCTTGTGCGCATCCTGTGGAGACTTTTTTAAAAAAACCTTTCTTTGCGACGGGACATGGGCTGGCGCCAGATGCCACGGGATTCCACCGGAAATGCGATCAGGCACCCGCCCTTGCCCCGTGGTTTCCAGAAACTAGTACCTCCGAGGTACTAGTTTTTTGCCTCGCGTCTTCGGCGGGAAGCCTCGGTTGAGCCACGGGAGCGCTACACTTCCCAGATGTGCCGGTGATATCGTGACCGGATACTCCGCCTATCTTCCGTCTCTCTAGCGTGGCTAATGTTCCGTGTGACCACAGCGAGGAAAGAGCAATGTTTAATCTACTTACTGACCATTTGAAATTCAAATGGGTCCACAGGAGATAAACAGCTGAACCCTCCATCAATAAATCAGCTGCCTGATTATGACTGGTCAGGATGCAAGCAGAACTGGCAGGTGATTGAGCTTATCTAAATGCTGGATTCGTTCTTCCTAAACCATAACCACCATCTACCATGTGGAGCACAGAACAGACATTGTACTCATGCATGTGTACCTAGAGCACTAGGCTTTAAGAAGTGACAAATTAGATGGAAATATACTTTTCGATATTTAAAAATTATGTGTTAATATTTTATTTTATTTTTACATTGTTCCTTTTGGATGCCAAGTAAATTAAGGTGTAAGTTCATTCTAGATCTCAGGTTTATCCACACTGAATGTGGAGGAAGGATGCTAAAGCCATAGTTTCCCTTGATTACCAAAGACCTTCAGATCGACACTGGTGAGGCTGGCAACATCCGATACCCACCTTCACCTGTTCTTATGGGAGGAAGATCTGTAATGATGGACAAGCCATTTTGCATACAACTTGTTTACTATGACCGGGGCCAGGACCGTCTTTCACCAGCTTTGACTGGTTAGTCAGCTGCCTCTTTTCCTGGGGAGAAAAGATCCGGCCACTGTGGTGCATGCCCTAATTAAATCTGGATTAGATTACTGCAATGCAATCTACATGGGGTTGCCCTTGTGTAATATTTAACAACTTCAGTTGGTACTGAATGCTTCATCCAAGATGTTGACTGGAGTAGATCATAGGGAACATATCACTTTAGACTTGTTCCATCTACACTGGCTCCCAGTTTGTTTCTGGGCACAATTCAAGGTACTGGTCTTGACCTCCAAAGCCCTATATAGGCTGCGGTCACACGGAAAAGAAGCCACACAAGTGAGACGGAAAACAGGCGGAGTTTCCAGGCGCAATCTCACAAGCACATCTGGGAAGCGTAGCACTCCCGTGGCTCAACCGAGGCTTCCAGCCGAAACTGCGTGGCAAAAAACTAGTACCTTGGAGGTACTAGTTTCCGGAAACTGCGGGGCAAGGGCGGGCGTCTGATCGCGTTTCCGGTGGCATCCGGCGCCCGCCCATGTCCCCTTGCAAATAAGGTGTGGTTTTTTTTGTCCAAGTCTCTGTGGATGCGCACACGCACCCAACGGAGCATGCACATTTGTCATGTACACACAAAAATAAAACAGTTTGCCGCGGCGCACGCTTCTTCGTTGCGCACCGGCTTGTCCTGTGATCGGCACCTCTCCCTTGCCATGGAACCTCCACGGTACCTCCACAGGACCTCCACGCTTCTCCCCCACAGTTTCCTGCCCGTGTGACCGGGGCCAAAGTTTGCAACCACCACATCTGAAGGACTGCCTACTCACTTATGAACCTGCCTGACCACCATGATCACCTCCAGAGGCCCTGCTTTGGGTGCCCTGCCTTCTGAGAGTAGGTGAGACAGTACTGAGATTTAGACTCAGATTTGGTGCCATGACCCAGGAGAGGCCTTCTCGGTCATAGGACCAAATCTCTGGAACTCTCTCCCCAGGGAGATTTGTCTGTCCCTTGCTGTTGCAATCTTCCACTAGCAGGAGAAACCTTTTCTTTTGGCATTCCCTCAATGATTCCTTCTTCCTAACCACTGTTTAAATTGCTGCTTATATATTTTGTATGCATTTTAGCTGTTTTTACATGTTTAATAATGTGTATTCTGGGGTTGGTTTTAATGGTTTTAAGATGTGATTTTATCACAGAATCATAGAATGTTAGCGTTGGAAAGGACCTTGCAGGTAATTTAGTCCAGCCCCCTGCACTCTGCAGGAGCATAGCCGAAAGATAGCCCTACAACATACCCGAAAGATGGTCGTCCAGCCTTCGCTTGAAAACGTCCAGTGAAGGAGTATCCACCACCTCCCAAGGCAGTCTGTTCCACTGCTCAACCACATAGCGGTCATTTTAAGGACAGAAAGGAGATAGAAATGTTGTAAACAAATAAATAAAAGGACTGATTCTGGCAGGGCTTTTGTTGTTGTTGGGAAAAGAGGTGCCGGTATTCTCAAGAGGGAAATGAAGTTTTCAATCTGTATACTGAAAACTCATGAACTTTTAATCATTTAAAAAAAGAATTTTGTCAAAGAGGTTCCAGAACTCCATTCTGGTGCGTTCCTCCAGAAAAAGAGGCCCTGGATCCTGGCATTCAACAACTCCCAGTATCTTCATTTATAGTATGGCTGCTTTCAAAGGGAAGAAAACCTTATCTAAATTGCTTTCTAGGAATTGCATGACTATACCTCATATGAAGAACCAGAAACCATGTACATCTGTGCCTTCAATAACTTTTGTGTAATCTGACATTGACTCTTCTAATGCAGCTTCACCCTTTTCTGAGGAAGATCTCATTTAACAACAGTGCTGGGGACAAAGTAACCTTTGATGACCATGGAGAATTAGTAGGTGGATTTGATATTATAAACTGGGTTACTTTCCCAAACAAATCCTTCTTAAGAGTGAAAGTAGGGGAAATGGATCCACAAGCTCCACAGAGCAGAGAGTTCTCCATTAATGAGATGGATATCGGGTGGCCCAGTAGATTTGACCAGGTATGGAAATCAATTATACATTGATAATCCTTTACAGCCCACAGGCTGAATTTGATTTTGGGATATTGAGTTGCTCTGCACATACACAACCTATTTAGTCTGGTTATCTTGTTCAAAATATTGCAGCTAACAGCCTAACTTCCATGACATCGTATTATTACACAACCAAAGTCTGGGGGCTGAAGGAAGTCAATGTTGAGGGAGTTTCCAGAGACACTGTGTGGATGATATTCAAAATAATCCCAAATAAATGTGGTCTTGAATCACACCTTAACCACATAACAGACAATTGCCCATAAGAACAGATAATGAAGACAGCATACAGTTTCTGGAGAATTTCAGATTGTACGTTTGTCTCTTTTTAAACCTAGCCCATCTGGATACAAATATATGCTTTAAAGAACAAGTCTTGTATTGTAATTCTGAAATCTCAGGGACTAGATGGAGACTGCATGTCTACTTCTGTGGAATTCCAGTGGTCATGGTGCAAGATTTCCATGTCCTACAACTTTCTGTTGTACATGATCAGCAGAAACATACTTAGAAAATGAGAGGAAGAAATATGCCTGATCACACAAGTCGGTGAATTTTGCACTGTGGGGGTATAGGATTTATATTACTTCATGGCATAATTTTGGGGATAATATAGTGTGGAACAAAACGGGGGGGGGACCCAAGGTATGGTCACAATCTTTGTGTAGCTAGGATGCCACCTGACCACCCACTTACACACCACACACTTACACACACACCAAAAAAAGGTTGGATCTGATTTTGTGTCTCTGACTATAACTTCATATCTGAAAATTAGACAGGAACCTAAAAATTAGATAGGATTCTAAAAAAATCAGTATACGAATATTTTCATAGGATGAGTAAGAGTAAAAATAAAGGTTTCCCTTGCTCAAAAGCCAGTCAAATCAAACTCTAGGGAGTGGTGCTCATCTCCGTTTCCAAGTCAAAGAGCCAGCACTGTCTGAAGACTTCTCCATGGTCACGTGGCTGACATGACTAAATGCTGAGGTACGCAGAACGCTGTTACCTTCCCACCAAAGCAGTGCCTATTTATCTACTTGCAATGTCTTGCTTTCGAACTGCTAGATTGGCAGGAGCTGGGACCAGAGACAGAAGCTCACTCCGTCACACGGCACTCGGGTCTCAAACTGCCGAGCTACCGACCTTCTGGTCTGCGACTCAGCATCTTAACCTCTGAGCCCCCATGGCTCCTTTTCATAGGATTAACTCATGTCAAAATATATGTAACAATATGAGCCATTGCCCCTGCTGGAGTTTATGAGGGAAAGGGGAGCTTTGGAGTAGATGAGGAAGGATTTTAAAAAAGCGATTTTCCATGGAAAGGGAAAGATAGATTCTAAGGAGTGAGGGAGAATAAGGATATTTCTTCCTTACAGAGCTCAAAGTAGCTAACAAAAACAGATAAAATACATTAAAAATATAAAACCAAAATGTAAAATCACTATTCAGGATTGCTCCTAAACTCCACCAAATGAAGTCCTAAATAAAACTGTTTTCAAGTGCCTCCTAAAGATAAAAAGTGAAGGGGCCAGGAATCCCTCCCTGGGGAGATTGTTCCATAATTGTGGGGCTCCCACTGAAAAGGCCCTCTCTTGTATACCAATCAAATGAGCTTCTTTGGTTGATGGGACAGTCAGGAGGGCCTCTCCCGGTGATCTTAGTTCCAGGCAGGAACAAATGGGAGAAGATGTTCCTTCAAATAACCCAATCCCAAGCCATGTAGGGCTTTACAGTTCAAAAAGAATCCCTTAAATAGGGCTCAGGGGTGGATTGGTAGCCAGGGTAATTGCTGCAGGGTTACATGATCCCCAATCCCTGGCCTCAACCAGCAATCTAGCCTCTGCATCCTGCACTTGCTGTAGCTTCTGAATACTCTTCAAGGGTAGCCCCAAGTAGATCACATTGCAGTAGTCCAGTATGGATGGAACATAGCCTGTGAGGAGCCTAAAGAGAACTATAGCCTCTTGACATCTACAGCAACACCAAGAGACCCAATCATAGTAGCAGCATGAATAGCCAATCAGCCTACAGGAAAGTCTGTGAGAGACTTAAAAGGCTGGGGGGTGGGGAAAGATACAACCCCCTTTGTTTCCGGCTGTTTTTTAGTCCACCACCTGGTCTCCCCAGGGGCTTCAGAGGGAGGACAAGAGATTAATGTGATGTTCCACTGTCGACCTATGTAAGGCAGAGTTACAAACCACAAGTGAAAACCTGACAACATGATATATTGGAGTTTACTTTCATAAAAGCTACACTGAGATAATAGTTTGGATTTAGTGCTACTCTCTTTAAAGCTACCTGTTTCAATCCCAGTAGGGAAAACTGCATAGAATTTTTGTTGTTGTTGTTGTTGCTAGTTTGTTTGCAGTAGCTCTGTTGTTTTCCTTGAACCTCGATTCCCATACCCAGTTTGCTTCTGATTCTCATTTTCTAAGGATAATCCAACATATAGGTGAAGAATTTTGGGGTTTATTCATCTTTAATATGATGGAAAGTTATGGAATTGGTGAAAACATCTAGTCAGTTTCCTGTGTCTCAGTCTCTGGAGAAATGAATGACAAATGTGGAGATTCTTGCTCCTATTTAGTAATCACATTACTTGCCCCAGCTAGGGTGGCCAGCAGGCCTGAAGAAAAATATCCTGTCCCTTTAACACAGGCTTAATGGGTGGAGGTAAATAACATCACCTGGTAAACAATATCCCATTAAGCTTCTGTTAAAGGGGCAGGACATTTTTGCTGCAGGATGTTGGCAACCCAGCCCTGGAGAGAAAGCCCTCTCATTGTCCTTCAGTGCCAGAATCTCAGCCCAATACTCCATTGAGTAAAAGGTAAGAATAAAAGTCAGGAATATGGAATAAACTTTTAATCTCCCTTTTGTGGATAGGTTGTGCCCCAAGCTCTGTGCAATGACAAATGTCATCCAGGATCCAGCAAGAAGAAGAAGGAGGAAAAGCCTTTTTGCTGCTATGATTGTGATCCATGTCCAAAGGGGAAGATTTCAACCCAGAACGGTAGGGAATACCATGGGACAAAGCATATTAAGACAATTAGTTGTTGTAATCTTAGCTGTAGTGCTATTGTAAGATGTAGAGCATTTTGTGTTAGAATTTCAAAAGCCAATCCATATGCAAAAGAACCTCCTCAGGAAAGCCATTAGCATGTCACAGCTTGGGGAACTCCTCAATGACTCAGCCCTACCCCCACCTTCCTGAGTAGATATAAATTACCTGCCTACCATTTTTCTTCCCACTTTGACAGAGAGTACTCCATCTCTCTGTGTTATACCTCTGAGGATGCCAGTTACAGTGGCTGGTGAAACGTCAGTTCCTACAATGTCAAGACCATGGCCAAAACCCCCGAAAAATCTACAACAACTAATGAACTCCGGCCATGAAAGCCTTCTATAACATATTAAGTGAACGTAATTCTAAGGTTTATGAACAGAGATAAAGCAATCACATATCAAATCAATCCTCTAAAACAGTGGATATTAATGCCTTTGTTTTTGCCAGGGCTCTGATATGATATCATGTTCGGGGCAGCCTTGATTGCCTTAGCGATAGTTCATTCTGTCCCAGGGCAGTCTGTCCCTGCCGATTGACAGTCTATCCATCCCTCCTGGTTTCTGTCACTACCCCAGTGACATCTCACAAGCAAGGCATCTTTTTTTGGGTCGCCTTACTGTTGTGGTTGCCAACCTCCAGGTGGAGCCTAGAGACTTCTCAGAATTACAGCTGATTGCCAAACTGCAAAGATAAGTTCCATTTGAGAAAATGGCTATTTTGTAGGGTGAACATTATGGCAGTATATTCTGCTGAGGTCCCCCCCACCCCCACCCCTGCCCTTTCACGGCTCCATTCCCAGATTTTCAGGAACTTCACAGCCTGGAGTCAGCAAAACATAGTTTTGGATTTGGGATTGAGTGGCAGCATTTTGTGGTGGATTAGGTACTTTCTGGAGAGCAGATCTCAGAAGACAATGTCGGGAAACTGTTTCTTCCCGCAATGTTCTTAGTGTGCTATAGGCTTACCAAATTCCGGTGGGGGAATTGTATTTCCTGGCAGGAGCCTCGCCGTGGGGACAGCTGCACGCACTGCACCCGCTGTCACCAGGATGTGACGTTCCGCGTCGCTCTGGCAATGGGACTCCAAACAGCCCCGTTGCCAGAGCGACGCAGAGTGTCACATCCTGGCGACGGTGGGTGCAGCGCGTGCAGCCGTACCCGCGGCGAAGCTCCTGCCAGGAAATACAATTCCCCCGCCGGAATTTGGTAAGCCTAGTGTGCTAGTTGTTGCACAGCTGTATTTTTGGGCATATCCTTAATATCTAGATGGTTTTAACAGAATAACTCGCTATGATATTAATTCTACTCAGTTTAAATGGGAACACTGAAACCCTAGAAGGCAAGGACGAGCTAGCTGCCTCATGCATCACAGTCCATTGGAGAGGAAGGAGAGGAAGATTATTTAAAGAAATCTTATCCTTCCATGTCAGTACAGCTGCTAGAGGAGAAAGATAGTGGGTGTGCTTAGAGGGGGCCTATGCAAGTGAGAAGTGTATTTGTTTCTTTAGTCATTATTAGGTGGCTTTTCTCCACAGATGGGCCCAAAATGGCTTACAAAAAAGTACTAAATTGCAAAAATAGATAAACAACCCCCCCAAAAAAAATTCTAGGCTGGTTCTGATGAGCTAGCTCCACCCAATGGAAATACTTGGAGGAAGAGGGGGAGAAAGTCAGATCCATGGAATACAGCTGCTGCAGTCCTATTTTCAACAATCAAGCACAGTCTTCCCCATTTCCCCTTCTGCCAGCTTGAGGGATATTGGTGTCAATGGCCAATAAGGAAAAGAAAAGGAGTGCAATCTGTCTATAATTATTTTAATATGAATGAATGGAAATATATGTACATATGAAACCACACTACAGCAATCTGGCATAATCAATACGGATAGGTTTGTCTCTCTTCTGTATCACATAGGTATGAAAGACTGAAATACTATATTTATTTTTAAAGATGCAGATGACTGTTTCCAGTGCTCAGAAGGTCAATATCCAAGTGATGGTCAAAATGGATGCCTTCCCAAGGGCCTCAACTTCCTGTCTTACAGTGAACCTTTAGGAATTCTTTTGGCAGTTCTGTCCCTCTCTCTTTCCTTATTGACTTCTGTGGTGCTTGGAATCTTCATAAAGCACCAGAACACCCCCATTGTCAGAGCCAACAATCAGAACCTCACCTATTCTCTACTCATCTCCCTCTTGCTATGCTTTCTATCTTCTTTGCTATTCATTGGCCAGCCTGACAAAGTGACCTGCAAGCTGCGACAAACTGCTTTTGGTATCATCTTTGCAGTGGCTGTTTCTTCTTTGTTGGCAAAAACCATCACCGTGGTTTTGGTATTCATGGCCACTAAACCAGGATCCAAAATAAGGACATTGGTGGGGAAAAGACTTTCAAATGCTATCATTTTTTGCTCTTCATTGGTTCAAGCAAGTATTTGTATGGTATGGTTATATACTGATCCTCCATTCCCAGATGTTGACTCTCATTCTCTGGCTGTAGACATAATCTTGAAATGCAATGAAGGATCTTCTTATATGTTCTTTTATATTTTGGGGTACATTGGATTTCTGGCTGTTGTCTGTTTCACTGTGGCTTTCTTTGCCAGGAATCTGCCCAACACTTTCAATGAAGCCAAGTTTATCACTTTCAGTATGTTGGTGTTCTGCAGTGTTTGGTTGTCTTTTGTTCCAACTTACCTGAGCACCAAAGGGAAATATATGGTGGCGGTGGAGATCTTCTCCATCTTGGCTTCCAGTACAGGCGTACTAGGATGTATTTTTTCCCCTAAATGTTATGTCATTGTGCTGAGGCCCGAGCTGAATGACAAAAAACTATTAATAAGGAATACAAAGAGAAGAGATATTTGAACTGTCATTTATGAACTACTCTGACAGTTTACATAGTTTATCAAGGCTTGCTTAACCCAGGCCCCTGCCACACAGCAGAAAAAGACACGGCCAAAGTGCGGCTATTCAGAGCTGCACCAAAAGAGACATGTGGCAGCGGGATCACACAGATCCCCTGAGCTGCTGCACTGTTGCTCCCCGGCACGATCAGATGTCGGGGAGAAAGCCACCGACGGGAGACCAAGGCAGCCGGCTGCGCATGTCTGCACATGCGCAGTTCGGCCAGAAGCCTCGGATGCACTGGCAGAAGGACGTGCCGGCGATCCCACGGTTGTGCTTGCCGCAGCCTTTCTGGTAAGTCCACCTCTGTAGGTGGTTTGTTTTCACTGCGGATTTTCAGCCTGAAGGGCCGGATCGGGGACGGGTGCGCGCTGCTTCCCAGATGTTGCGGTGGGATCGTGCCCATTTGCTGCACCCCTGATCTGTCCCTCTTCCAGCCCTAAACCTCCCGTGTGACTGGGGCCCCAGTAATTTTATGGTTTGATACTTATGAAGATCTTCATTAGGGGGGGGAGGGTAGTTGTCCTTTAGCTGATGTTTGGGCTACTGAATTATTGCAGTTAACAAGTCTGAAGTGATCCTCCTGCAGACCCCGACAGATGTCTTTGGTATTTGTGATGGACTCATGTCCTAACCTAGATGGCCCAGACTAGCCTGATCTCATCAGATCTTGGAAGCTAAGCAAGATCAACTCTGGTGAGCACTGGGATGAGAGAATGCCAGGGAAGTCTAGGGTTGCTGTGCAGAGGCAGGCAATGGCAAATCATCTTTGTTAGTCTCTTTCCTTGAAAACCCATAAATTGGCAGTGACTTCATAGCACTTTCCACAACCATGCTACCAAAATTTCACCTCAACTGAAATTCAAAAGATTGGGGAGGGGGTCCATTGAAAACGTTCCTTTTGAAATGAAAAATCCTAATGGAAATGCAATTAGTTTTGACTAGCCACGTTTTTAATGGAATATACTAATATGGTAGTTATGCCATCCTATGGTCTCACCAGCAAAAATAATAATAATCAGGAACAGAGATTTTTTTCCCCTGTCCAAATATCTGTAGCAGTCTAAAAATTATTTTAAAAAGACCAGCAGAGCCTTCCCAAGGGGAATATCACCCTATTTGTAATTCAGAGTTCTTTGGGTTTTCAAATAAGGTACAATTCTTTATTTTTAATGCACTAGTTTCAAAACAGAACCTACTGGTGTTCCTCTTTTTATGACCATTAATAAACTTGCTTATACTCTGGGATTTATAATGGGAACTGTAAAAATAACCTGCATCTCAATAAAGACAAGACACACAAAGAATTTGGGTTGAACTAGGCTTATCTGATCTACATCAAGAAATATAGTCCTGTTTGAATTCTTCCTATGTTCCTGTGACAAAATAGTAAAATGTCCCCTCTTCAATAAATTCTTGTCCTTCTCACCCTCTACCTGATATGAGATCAGCTGTCATTGTCGTCCCTGTACATTTTTGAGGTTGTTTGTTGTTGGTGTTGGGTTTTTTGCAGAGAAACAGATTTAAATAATTTAAAGAAATATGTCTAGTTAGACAATGGTGTTTTTAATAAAGACCAGGGGTCATTTCGTAGAAAAAGAGCTAGGGGGACTCATTAGCATAACTCATTAGCATATGCCACACCCCCTGACATCACCGGAAGTGTGTCCTCCACACAGCCGGCGACGACCTCCAGCGGGCACCAACAGGGAGCTCCAGGCCCCGCCCTCCTGCACCTCACCCGGGGGGATGGCGTCCCCCCGCGTCCCCCCCCAAATGACCCCTGATAAAGACCATGAGAAAGGTTCCTAGATGTCCTGGGGGAAGGGATGGAATGAACCTGGAGAGATGACCTCCTCATTGAGGTGTATTGGTTTGAGACCTGGGACAGCTGAGTAAAATTCACTTCCTCATGGTAAAACAAAGTGCTGCCAGGGTCTGTTTTACCACATGGACCACAAAAATTGTACTTGTGTCCCACTACCATGGTGGATCAAAGCAAAATGGTTCTTGGAAAAAAAGAGATCTGAATGGGAAAAGAATGGGGGACCTGTGTGCTTTCTGAAAGGTACACTGAAATCACCTTCATAATCATGTGAATTACGAACATCAATTCCACCAGAACTTACTGGTCTGGAACCAGTCTTGGTGCTATTTTCTTATCTTTGGAACATTTTGAACCCATGTTCTGTTTCCTTCCCTCACTAGTCATCAGCAATTGATTTGGGTGACATCAGGAAAATATGTTTACTTCAATGGTTCTGCTAGAGAGGTGCCACATGAAGATCAAAAACTCTGCACACACACACACCATAATTATCTAAATCACTGTAATTTATATATCCAGTACCTGGCCAAAGCTCTGGTAGCTTTACAGAGGACATTGCCACAGAAGTTCAATTAGCAAACATAAAAGGGGTATAAAACATGTAATGTGTTTTTCAGAGCTAAGATTACAAAGTAGACATAGGCAGGGTCCTGTTAGCTCGACCTGAACCCCCCCCCCCACACACACACATTTTATTGCATAGATCAGGCTTCTATTAGGCCTATCACCACTGGCATTCAGTCCATGTTTTGGTAAGCATTTAGATGCGAATGGTAAGGCTAATGCAGTTCCCTTTGAGAAGTGTATTGGCAGAACCAAATGCTAGACAGGGTATCTTTTTTCAAATTCAGTTGGTGCTTGTGGTGATGCTGCAAGGAGAGATCAGAGAATCTGCATCTACAAAGACGTTTCCCCATCAGGATGGTGGGATGTCTGATGTTGCTTCTGATGCTGCCACATATTGTGTGCAGAGTGGGTACTCTTAAATGCATCACTCCAAATCCCCTTTTGATTCCACATCAGTGGTACCAACCAGGTGACTTTATCATTGGTGGGATTGTTTCTCATATCAGTTATGTTTTCCCCATATTTTCCTTTAACATCCATCCTTCTCAAGAATCGATGTCTCAAGAATGGACTACAGTTCCAGTGTAAGAGAAAAAAATATATTATTTCACTGGTATTTTAGACTTTGTGACTGTATGTCACTTTGGTTCACTTGACAAAGTTGAGGTTTTTGATTAGGAATCAATGATGACTCTAGGACACAGCATTAATGTATTCCCTGACATGATATAGTAATAAGGGGAAAGTAACACATTCAATCTCGTTCTGCTGTAAAATTCAATAACATAAATACTGAAGTTGGGTGAGAAATTTTGCAGATGAAGAAACTGAGATTTGGAGAAAGTTCATGATCCTTTTCAGGATATGTTTTCTGATTCAGTGGTGATAAAGCCTGTGTTGTTTATAACTTGTAAATACACATGCTGAGACAAAATTTTTGAAAGCTAGCTATCAGTATTTTTTTTTACTTCCCATAGCATAACCCAGACTTGTGCTCCAAAAATGTACTCCAAAATGTCCATTGGGGCTTATTCTGCATATGGCAGCATTACTTAAGATTAATAATGGCTTTATTGGGTATATTTCTTTCAGGTGAATACTAACATCATATAATATAAACCGTAAATTTGTAGTTAGACATGTGATTCTTTAGAGCTAGAAAGGGCTGATGGTATTTTTGATAAAATTATTTCATACAGTGCAACATTCTCCTACAAAATGACATGTTACTCTGCTTGCAGGGTACTGACAAAGTTTTACCAGCACGTCCTGGCCTTGGTATTTGCTGTCAATAAGATCAATGAAAATGCTAAAATCTTGCCCAATATCACCCTTGGGTTCCACATTTATGATAGCTGCCATGATGCAAAGATGACCTACCGTGAAACCTTGGACTTACTCTTCAAAGGTCAAACCTTTGTCCCCAACTACAAGTGTGGGATTCAAAGAAATGTAATAGGAGTCATTGGGGGAATGAACTTTGAAATTTCATCATTCGTGGCAGATATTCTGAGTCTTTACAAGATTCCACAGGTAGGATCTTTGTGCATGGGGATTCTTGGGATTTTCCTACTCTTGCCTATCATTTCTTTAGATCTGAATGCTTGGAGCAGTCAAGGAATATCCCAAGGCATTTAATCCTTAGTAGAGGAGTTAGGATTGCTCCAAAATTAGTTAGGATTACTGTGGAGGAAATGAATGTACAAAGAAAGGTGTGCGTATGTAAAAAATGAGGGAGGATTTCTTAAAAGTAACACTGTTATGGGAAGTGGAATTTCCCCTTTTTTCTGAAATGTACTACTTAAATATAGCTATTGATTTCTCTTTTTAATTTTTTTCTCTTTCAAAAATGGATTTTTCTTTGATTACTCTTTGTACTTTTCTGCTATACCTTTGGGTGCCCTTTTAAAAAAATTTCAGCCCTTGCAGGGGGAAGGGTTGATGTTACATACCAAAGGGTATTCTATCAAGAAAATGTAAAGATAGGTGAAAACATTGCTTGCCTCTGAGCATTTACAGAGTGAAATGCTGAATTTTTGCAAAACCTACCATCCTACCCCTTGTCTCTCAGAATTACTTTTGATCAAAATGGGATTGATTTGGCACAGGGTCCACATTCCTAAAAAGAGAAGAAAGGGATTGTTTGATTTCAGGGGAAAAATTGGATAAAGGTGGATTAAGAGAATTTCTATTAATAATGCTGCTTAAAGGAAGTGTGTTCAGACAGAGGAAGAAATGAATGAAGAAGGATGGTGGGTCAAAGTGCTTTTCCAAGCAGAGACAGCACCAACTAAATGTAGAACTTTGAACAAATTCCCATTTAGAAATCTGCTTTGCCCATCTTATTGCACCTTTTGTTGGCAGAGGCCCATGCCTCTGTAGCAATTCTGGACTTCGTTGCTAGTCTCCCATCCAAGTACTAACCAGGGTCAACCCTGCTTATGTTTTGAAATCTGACAAGATCAGGCTAGTCTGAGCCAAGCTGAACAAGGCTCAGGCAGAATTTCCCAATAGTTCCTGAGAAATTGGTTCACATTCTTTGCTGATGATCTGCTTTGTTCACTCT